TTTTGGACTCCAATCACAAGCTGCTCGCCCTGTGGACCTGGAAGTGTGGACTCTGTCACACAGTCATTGAGGTTTTCTCTGAGCTGCTATGGGCAATAAAATTGCCATCAGAGTTTTAACCAAATTTACTACTTGCCATCAAATAGTGGAGGTAGAATAACAATAAAGTGACTTATCTTGGTGTAGAGTCAGACTAGACACACTAAACTTCACAACTTTGTTAGGTAAAGGTAAAGGTAAACTTATTGATGTAGCACATTTTCAGGAACAAGGAAATACAAAGTGCTTTACAGGAATTGAAATGCAAACAAAATAACAAACCAAAAAAAAAGAGCAAAATAAGACAAAAACCTAATAATGTTGATCCAAAGTAAATAAACTAGTTACTCATAGTGGCAAAAAATGACAACTTACCATCTGTAAACTTATAACTTCATATTCTAATATTTGGCATAGAGTCTAATAACTATGCAGTCTTTGTTATTTCCACTCTTAGGTTAACAGCCAATCAGCACAAAGGAAAACACATGCTGCTCTCAGATTGGCTGCTTTGAAAATCCCAGCCAGTCAAGTAGCATTGTTCTGAGGTTTATCTGACAGTAATTTGGTCTTAAGTTTCACTGAAGTTTGCTTAAATTGAAACTATGAACCAGGATCCACTGTATATGTATTGTGATTCATAATATGGGAGTCTTTTGCAATAAATTCTTCATCGCAAAGTGGAAAAAACATCATCCGGGAAACAGTGAATCTCCACAAGGCTGGAGTGGCATACATTTCTGCCTTGCTGTTGTAGATATTCTGCAATGGAAGAAACATAAAATTAGTGTCAGTTTCCCTTAGTCTGTAGGTCCATGGAAGGTCTTGCCTCTTGGAGTGAGGACGGTCATTAGAGAGGTGATGAATCACTGCTAGCACATTACACAGTGATGGATTGAAATATTCTCTCTCTCTAGCACATCTGCAGGCATCATAAGTTTTATAGTGAATTATCTAAATGACTCAGAGAAGGCTTACATGAGCAGCCGTCTCTCATGTAAGAACCATTAACCACTGTTTTATTCTTAGGTATATTAAACACACACACACATATATATTTTTATTTTTATATCCAACATTAACTTTTAAAAGTTTATGAATTTGATCTGTCCCTGGCTGCAGCCCTAATCAGCCAAAATGAAATTCAGTGCAAGTCCTTCTTGACTGACGGTATTATCAACACATCAAAATAGAAAATCTCCACATGCTGTAAAGCAAAGGAGGAACTACAGTCAATCTTCATTCCTGACTGAAACTCACACAGATTGAAAAATAACAGTGACACAAATTTAATAGATTTGCATGGCAAGCGTTAAAGATTTTAGTATTAGTTTATTGATAAACTGACCAAAAATGAAATATTGTGTGCTCTCCTAATTGCCTGTTAAGCAGAAACTCAGCAGCACTCAATCAAGCTATTGCCAGGAGCTACACTTTGATCAATGGAGATGAGAACTGAGATTTTTCCTTGTAGCTTTCAGGCATGAAGCAGTGGGTAGCAGCAGAAAACACCATAAACACAAAGCAAAAAAAAAACAAAAAAAAAAACGTTAGGCTCATCAGATGTTCTTTTCTAAATTTAAGATGAAAGGACATGAAAAGAAAATTTTCTTGCACTTCACTTGGTTCACAAAAAAGTACTTAAAATACTGTGAAACTGCAAACACACATGACTAGTCATGTCTTCCTCAAAGTTTATGTACGAATCAGCATAAGGAAGCATTTTTCTCTTTGAAGTGGAATAAATTGACATAACAAAAGAAGTAATTATTTGAGTTAAAACATTTTTAAATTAGATAGGTCTGAAAATGTTACTTCTTGGACACACCAATACTAAAATGATCACTTTTAATTTCTTTCTCTGAAAAAAATTGATTCAAGACTTACACTCCAGGTTGAATCTGTTTTAGAGGAAAAAAAAGGACAAATATCTACAGAACTATGTTTTATCACTAGTTCATGACATACTGATGTACAATGCAGGACAAATTTACAAATCAATTGCATAAAAGTATGCATAATAATATTCTTGATCAGGAATAAAGCAAATAAGTGATGTGTATCAGACTGTTCAGTGTTACAGTTAAGGTTCTGTATCCTCGCATTCTCTGATAACATCCAATGTAATCAATTTTTTAAAGTGATGATCCATCTCTTCTTTCTGATGGCTTTTATTTTCTTTCTGCTAAAAGCTAGCTTTGAAAAACCATACACCTTTTTGTTGATTTTCATTAGGATCCCAGAAGTACAGATTAGTTATTATCAATCATTTTCCTCACATGTGGAGTTTTTCTTCCATCCCTCCAGTGAACAAGCATGTGCTGCACATGTGGGGTTTCTCCAGCCAAGCTTAAACACAAACGAAATCAGGGGAATTTGAGGCAGTGCATTTCTGATAAGAATGGATGTGATAGTCTGTATTTTGTATGCTGGGATTGGCTCTGACCTCATATAACCCAGACGAGGAAGAAATGACATGAATAAATGAAGTCCACGGAGACGCTGTGAATATCTTCTACAGGTTTATAATCCAATGTCAACAACTTACCCCATGCTGTCTTTAATTTGTCACAATGAAACACCTAATGACAATGAGATGGAAGATACAGATCACTCTAATGACTTCTCATCCTTTTCCATAGACAAATTATCCACAGTGCAAAGTCCATTTTCAGAGTAATTGTCGACAGTTTTGGGTTCCTCTCTTTATTTCTCTGCAAAATCTTGCACCAATAGTTTTACAATGACAGCCCTTCAGAATGGGTTCAGTGAAATTAAATTAGCATTTATTACATCCGTGTGACAAATGATGTGTTTCTCTATTATATTTTGAATTATATGTGTTTCTGCAGTGTTCAGTGGTGCAAATCCATCCACAAACAATTTGTCACCCAAAGCCAGTTCCACACGTCAGCACTTCACTGCGGCTTGAAATGTTTCTGCATGCGTCATTACCAAAGTGTTGTACATGGGAGCTGGGACACATTTTCTGAAAGTGGCATTTACTTTAGGCTGTTTTATATTGTAGTCACTTAAGTGTTGAGGTTGTTGAAGCTATTTAAATATTAAACTTCAATTTTACCATAAGCCCTGCTTTTTTATATAAATAAAACACTGGAAATGTACTACAAAGTAATCTGCCATTCCTTTTATATTTAATTTGCCCAGACACAGAAGTTGTATATATTTTTTTAGTCAGAAACCATAAAAAAGGCCTGAAGCAGGCACTGTAAGCCTTTTAAAGACTATTACCATGGCAACTATTAAGCCAATCACAGAGAATCAGTTTTTATCTTCTTTGCAACCCTTATTTGTCATTCGATTTCTTTAGTTTCAAATATGATTCCAAGACATTTAGTTTCACAGCATCAAGATAATAATTAAAGTATATGTGAATTAAAACTTATGAGCTCATTTCCATATCCATGGCATTCATTGATTTTTTTGGGGGAAATAGAGTTTCCTCCTCAATTGTCAAGGTAATCTAAATGCTGCCGAGCTGTTTTTTGTCTGAACTGCTGATTTGTTTGATGGTGTAAAGACATTCTGAGATTATGCATATATCGCTCCTTCCTGAAGAAGCTGTTCTGTGCTGCCTCGTCAGGTATTTTGGGATTTATGGTTGAATCTGCTCCCTGAGGTGGGCCAGAATGGTCAATGAAAAATTCAGAATGGATCTATTTTACTCTGCTTTTGACTAAGGAAGGGAAAATAGACATGCAGGTTAAACGACATGCCTTTGTTCTTGTTTTTATGTTTTAACAAAGTGAGATAAATGGGAAGAGAAAGCTCTAATTTTACAGTAGCTGCATTTAAATAATGGGTATTGTATTCCAAGACACATACTTTCAAAACCTTGCAGAAAAGAAAAGAGAAATTCAGTGTTTGCAGGTGCTGCAGCATTTTACTTGAGTTTTATCTCATTTTAACTTGTTTATCAAAACTTAAATATTGTGGCATGATACCAATTTTGCCACAGATCTGTATGAATGTTATGTTCTGTAGTTGTCACAAAATAATTATCACAAATACACAATCTGAGTATGTTATTTTGAATTACTCATGTTGTAGATTTGTCCTTTATTATCTATTAACATATGACCTTTTTTTTTTTTGCTTCACTTCCGTCCTGTTGGTGGCGGTAGCGTGCACTTCAGTTAATTCGCCATCTATTCACACAGGAAGAAGAAGGACGCTTCATTCGTAAGGTGGGAATCGGACAGAAATGGTGTAAATAAGAAGGCAAAACCAGACGAAAAGCTTTAGATCGTGTGTTGTGCTGCTCCAGAGTTGCTCATACACTAACCGCGTGTTTTATTCGAGGCACAGATTCGAGTCTTTACGAGCCTTTTGTTCATTTTGGCCATGTTTATCCGCGCAGTCTGTCTTCGTAGAGTGTTATGGACCGATCCCAGAAGGTCATTCATGGTTGCTTTATGCAGACAATACACCAGCTCAACTACTTTAATCAAACATTCACTTTTCCTACTTTAGAACTACTCATTCTTTTTGTTATTGTACCGTTAACATTAGCAAACCACTTAGCAACTGTGAAGATATTGCTGTCCCAGACGCCGAACATTGTTGATTGGTTGAAGTGTTTTATTTCATTGTTTTTAATAATCAACCAAGGCATAAATCCCACAATACTGCTTTAAAACAGAGTTAGCTTTTTGTGACGTTCCAAGAAAATTATTTCCAATGTATTTGTACTGTTAACGTTCATCTTGAAAAACTTGACACAAAGTAAGACAACAAACGTGGACAGGATAAATTCAAACCAACTTAAGCATGTTTCATTATCTGACAAAATAAGTAAAAAACAATTATGATAATACACACACACACACACACACACACACACACACACACACACACATATATATATGTTTTTTTTTTATATGCACACACATTGCTTTCAACACAAGGGCAACTTTGTCTCTTTAATTACTTTACAGCTTACCTTGTTAGTAATGTACTTTTCAATATAATCCTCCATTGACATACATATAGTTTGTTGTCTTTTTAATTGAGTAGACACTTCTGGGCAGTTAGACATTTGAACCATTTGCTTATTAACCCTGTCAGGTGGATAATCCTAGATTACCAGTCTCTTAAACCGTACTGCATTTGTAGAAAGGCCATTAACTAAAGCAGCAGTAGTGAATGCACGGTGTTGCTACTTTCTACTAACAGTACATGCTAAAGCTGCAGCTATGGTTCATTTTTCTTTCTTTTTTATTCAATTATTTTACCTTCCTTTCCTCCCTTCCTTTGGTATCATCACATTTCTAAGGTTATTAAATGCACCTTACTTTGTGTGTTAGTTTTCATAGTCCTGTTTTCCTTTGGTTGTGCCAAATGGACCTATGTTTTTTTTCTTTTTTCTTCAGGATGGGGAATTTTACCTCTTCCAGTACTGCAGGTCTCTCCAGTACAGCCTGTGTACAACTTGTTCAGGTGAGTAGTTGTTTACAAATCTACCTTGTGCTTTTGTCGTGCTACTGTTAAGTGGATGCTCTTTGAAAGTCACTAATGTCTTTTAAATTTATGATTTAAGTCAAGAAATAGTGTTTGAAATATCTCTGACGACAGATCTATATATAGTTGCTTCTCAGCTGTGTTCCTGCTCTCTTTAATCTTTTGTTTGCATACACATCGTCTGTCAGTGTGATCTCACAGCTCACCACAAGTTGTTTTTCAGTTCAGTTTGTAATTAGAATTATTGATCAAGTGAATTTTATTTTTTTTACATAGACTGTTTTATTTTCAACTACATGACTTACTTTTGATACCTGTATTAAAAAGCTAATTGTGATGAAAAAAGTATCAAGTGTATGCTAATGGTCAATCATGAAAACCTAATGAATCCTGGAAATATTCAGTGAAAGCCTTATAGTGGGCTAATTTCTATTTTCCCCCAATCTTTCAGGAGATGGTGTCACAGAACTGTGTTGTCATATTCTCCAAGACCACCTGTCCCTATTGCAAAATGGCCAAAAATGTGTTCAATGAAATCGGTGCCAATTACAAGGTGATTGAACTGGACCAGCACAACGATGGAAAGAGACTTCAGGAGGCCTTGGCACAGTTGACTGGTGTCAGAACAGTAAGAGTGTTAGATCTTAACGTGAGACTTTTAATGAACAGTTTATTTGAACTTTCGGATAAAAAAAACAAAAAAAAAACTAAATATACATATATGAAAACAGGGTTTGGAAGGAATAAAGCTGGATAATTAAGCGTATGGCGTGTCCTTTGTCTTAACCAAATTGTAAATTTGAGTAAAAGCTGGGTGTTAATCAATAGATTTAAATAAACTCCACTGATTCTTTGAAGCAGAGTGGTCAGAAATTCATCCAGAAACGTGTCAGAAAATGTTTGTTGTTGTTGTTTATTCTTTTTTTGCAACTGCTATTGAAGCAGTAGTCTCTTAAAGCTTTCCCTGTTGGTGGCACACATTAAATTTTCCTATGTTGTCAAATTGTTTATTTGTTCAGGTTCCAAGAGTTTTTGTGAACGGAAGCTGCATTGGGGGCGGCTCCGACACCAAGCAGCTCCATCAGCAGGGAAAGTTACTGCCCCTCCTCGAGCGATGCTCCCCCTGCTGTGTTACCGAAGGATCAGGCAGTGGACACTTTGAACCCTCTAAATGACTAACCGTCACTGTAGCCTTTTTAAATCCTCTATTATTTAATGTTTTGCTTAATTATATACTTGGAGTTACACATTTTTTGAACATGTTTATGCTCTTGGTTTATCAAAGTCAAACAGATTGTTGATGTCTAATTTGGTTGTATTTTCTCAGAAATGTGAAATATTAGTATACATTTTATGAAAATCTCCCATCTTAAAACCTAAGAAAACCCTGAAATCACATCCGTTCCTTTGTTAAATTCTAAAATAAAAGGACAAAAAATAGCTTTAAACTTTAATATGTACTGGAATTCGAATACCTGAAAATATTGAAACACCTGATTATAACACACACTTTACTATGCTGCTCGTCTGCAAATCTTGAAGAACATTATGTTTATTTAAGTAGCTTATTGTTTTTTGACATTTTAGAAATAGCGGTGACTGTCTGAATGTTTACTCGAGAAAAGCATTGATAAAAAATCTCCAATGCATGTCAAAGGTTTCAGGAGAGCCTAAACAGGAAAAAATATTTGTATTCCTGTACATCAGATGTATATTATGTAATAAACATGAAAGAAATACCATTCTCAACTTCCAGTGCATTTGTCTGCCTTTCTCTCCAATTTTTTATGTTTCTGTTGACATTTTAATATCGGAGCGAATCAGTGAATTACAAGCAATAATAAGATAGAAATTACAATGCACATTTTTATTGAATTAAATGTTGTATTTATTGATGTGCTACTGTATTATGCAGCATTTCTACATTTAAAATTTACAAAAAGTCATAGGCATTCAAGACGAAATGTTAGACCACACAAATATTCATTTATTGCGAACTTGCCGTAGCGCCCCACCGGTGTGTCCTCTAAAACAAATCGCGCGTACCCAGCAAGAACACATAGCACCGCATAGAAGTGAGGTCACTGTGCTATAATTAATTAGCCTAGCTAGCTTGTGCACTGCAAAGCTATAATAATTTGATAATTATAGGGTTTAACGGTGCGGTGGAAAAATGTCTGGCAGCGCAGGAGAATGGTGTCTGATGGAGAGTGACCCCGGAGTGTTCACGGAGCTTATTAAAGGTTTCGGTGAGTGTTTTCTGTCCAAACGTTGGCAGCTCATTCAATGTAATGTGGCTATGCGCAAACGCTAGCTAGTTGCTGCAAAGCTAACTTCTAAATTAGCTGGTGCAGAGTAGTTTTCTTCATTGTGTATACATATAACCAGCTGAGAATCTTGATCTGGCATCTGAGTTTTACTGCTTCTAAACATTTGCATGCGGTAACTGGGTAGCGGTCGATAGCTTCATCTGGAAAGCTAAATAGCTAGCATTACTCAGCGTTCAAAAATGACGGCGCGTAAAAACAAGCCGTCAAAATAGCGGACTTGTGTTTTCAATGGGTCTGTTAGACCGCGTGTAGAGATATTTTATTTTTTCAGCTGTTTAAACGTGAGTTGAATGCTGCTTTTTTCATTTGTCAGGCTGTAAAGGGGCTCAGGTTGAAGAGATCTGGAGTATGGAGCCAGAGAACTTTGAGAACCTGAAGTATGTTTATATTCGCTCCTTGACTTTATCGCACGCTTTCTCTTAAGGCGTTATTTTAAATAAATCTGTTCTGTCTCAGGCCAGTCCACGGATTGATTTTTCTCTTCAAGTGGCAGCCAGGGGAAGAACCAGCAGGATCAATCGTCCAGGATTCAAGGCTAGATCACATTTTCTTTGCTAAACAGGTAAATCGTTTACAATAGAACCCACTCAGCGAAGGTCAAGCAAACCCAGGACTGAAAGAAGTTTGTCATACTTGTTTTCCTCTGTTATCTTTGATGTTTAACAGTTCATCCAAGATGATGTTTTTGCTATGCTGTTACCGCATGGATGTGAAATTTAAAACTATTGTAAAAAAAAGGTTCTATCTGCATTGTGATGTTGGTTTGTATCTTAAACAATTAAAGATAAAGCTGTTTACCAAATTCTTCATCGCATTTGAATGGTTTCAAATTGAAATGCCACAGCAATAACATTGATACTTGTTATTCACTGGGGAAAAGGTTAAATTCTTTCACGGTTACTTTGAGATAAAATGTGAAAAGTGTGCTGTGCATTTGGATTCAGTCCCCTGGAGTCATTTCAAAGAAGACTCGGCTCTCATAAAATATTAAACTGATTTGATTTTTTTCGTTTCCCACTATGGGACTCATTTCCAAAAATAATTTATTTTTTCTATTCTTCCAAAGCATCAGATCCATGTGGATGCACACCCTAAATGGCAATATATTTACGGATACACCTAATGTCTTTCCCGTGTTGATAATGTACAAAAGTTGATTAAATTAGAGCTACTCAAAGGAAATATATTTGCATGAACAGTTTATTTAAAAAAATGCTAATGCCACAAAAATGTTATTGACCAATAAGAATATCCTCAATACCGTTTTTCTGTTTAATTGTTTGTATTTTTACAGCCCTACTCCATTTCCAACAGCAACGTGTGAAGATGCTGCAGATCCTGTTCATCAGTGGCTGTTCTGTGTGCTTTTCAATGTGTGTAATTTCTGCTCTGTGTGCCATTTTCAGGTCATAAACAATGCATGCGCCACCCAGGCGATCATCAGCGTTCTGCTCAACTGCTCCCATCCGGACATGTTGCTTGGCGACACACTGACAGAGTTCAGAGAGTTTTCTCAGAGTTTTGATGGAGCTGTACGTAAATGGTATCTTTATATACTTGCCGGCGTTTTTCAGTTGCGATGAGAGAAGAGATATACAACATCTCTCTCTGCCTGTGGAGTTTGTGATGCCAGCGTTTCACCGTTGGTTTTATAATCTTCTGCATTTGCTCCTCAGATGAAGGGTCTGGCTCTCAGCAACTCTGAAGTGATCCGACAAGTTCACAACAGCTTTGCAAGGTGAGCGCTTTCCCATATCATCTTTAAGCTCTTTTCTTTTTAGCCTCTTGTAAATTTGTAAATTAGCTGCTGAGCTATTATGTGTATTCTGGAATACAAGTCAGTTTTAAAATATCCAGCATACTTGACTGTTTTTCTTAAAATCTAATGACGTAAAGAAGACATTTTCCCTACAGTTCATACTCGTATTTCATTGAAAAAGTTTTTTGCTTTATGTTTGCTTTATTTGTGTCTTAACATTAACATCAGAATTTGTCCCATTTTGGTTATCTTGTTATCTTTGACTGGGTTTTTATGTGTTTTCAAGACAGCAGATGTTTGAATTTGATGCAAAGTCTTCAGCAAAGGATGAAGACGCCTTTCACTTTGTGAGCTATGTTCCTGTTAACGGCAGACTGTATGAGCTGGATGGGCTTCGGGAAGGACCAATCGACTTGGGTGAACAGAATGATTCACTTTATGCATGTTTTAGTCAGTTAAAGTTTCTGTATAAATTGTAAAAACAAAAAAATGTAAATCTTAACATGAGATCTTGATTACCTTTTGATAGTGATGTACTATACATGCTTGTGGAAATGACGAATGTTCATAGTTGTGTTTTATGTCACAGGTACTTGCAACCAGGATGACTGGATCAGTGCAGTTCGCCCAGTGATTGAGAAAAGAATACAAAAGTAAACAATATATGGAAATAACAAATTTTTACAAACTATCTTTAAGTCTATTAAATGCTGAGATAAATTCTCGTTTTCTTCTTCAGGTACAGTGAAGGAGAGATCCGATTCAACCTGATGGCCATCGTATCCGACAGGAAGATGGTGTACGAGAAGAAAATTGCAGAGCTCCAGGCTCAGCTCACAGAGGTAAGAAGCAAAGAGAAATAATATTACTTTTCTTTTTTTGAAGGCTTAACTGCATGCTTGAATTTAAAATAAACAATGCTTCTCAATTGACTTTATTACCTTAAAATTTGCTTTTGAGACAACTACTTTTCTTGCAAGTGCTGATCATTTTGCTCCTTTACCGTTTTCTACCTCTGCATTCCTGACTTTGTTCAGGTATTGAAATAATGTTGCTAACCACAAGACGTTTATTAACTACTTTGTGTTAATTTATACCTCTCAGTTGCCATCTTTACAGGACATGTTGCAAATTGAGGGACTATTCATTGTGCATGTGTTTTGTTCATTTTTTTATTGTTTGGAGCCCAAATTACATTTCAACAAAAGAGTAATTATAACTGCATAAACTAATTAACTGTGAAGCCTTAAAGCTCCACCAGAGCTTTGGGTTAGTTTGTGTACTCAGACGGTGGAAACCACCTGGTGATGCTCATTCACACTTTAAAACTCCACTTTAAAATTTCTCTCCAAGAGTTTTTAGCCATTTGACAACCTCTGTAGGTATTTTGTAAAAAATTTCACATATATACGTATTTCTTCACATCATCTGATGAACATTCCTCCAAATTAATGTGTACAAACAAAACTCGTTTAAGTGAAACATCAGCGTTGCTGTCTGAGTAAATTTCTGTATAAAAAAAAAAATCACAAAACGCATTACAGAGCTCTGTTGAAGTAGTTCTACATGGACTGATGTCCGTTTTTGGTATGTGATTAAGTCAATGAGAGCAGATTTCAGTGTTTTGGGGGAAACATGGGTGAGTCTTCAGTGTGAAGTCATCAAACCAGGTTATGGTGTGCACACATGTAATGGTAGCAGAACTCAAACCAGTTGCATACATGTTAAGTAATGCACCAGCTTTCTCTGCTTTCTTTCAGGTCTTATTTGCCATTTAGGAATTTTAAATTGCAGCTTTTGTTCCTCATTGTTGCAGTCCATACAGTCATTTCTATACATTTAGCTTTGATTCAAAGATAAATTTAAAAAAGAAGCTGCAGGCTGCTTGACAGAGGTATTGGTTTGGAGTCCAGCAGTGAATTAACTCCTTACAATATTGTACACGCATAAAAAGCACATCAATAATTTTCTACCCAACTCAAAACTGCATGCATCATTTTGCATGCAGCATTTTTCTCTTTTTGTAAGTGAGGTGTGAAAGACGCTCACAATCAGTAGTTAACCGTAAGCTGCCTAAAATTTTAGCCTTTCCTAAATCCATTTTTATTCACTTAAGACCGAAGAGAAGCTTATTACAAAATCATGATTAAACATTTATATTGCTGTGGATTTTTTTTTTACCACTAGAGGTCAGCAAAGGTTTTCTTTTCCGAACTTTATGTAACCTTTTCCAGAGCGACATCTTTTAAAGCACTTCTGTGTGTCTATATTCAGACGCACACATCAGAAGAATATCCTAATGTATCCAAAGAACTGTTTAGATGCTTGTTTTTTCTAAATCACCCTTTTAGTAATTTTTGTTTTCATTACTGTGTTTGTAGGAGGAGCCCATGGACACAGACCAGAACAACACATTTCTTAGCTCCATCCAGTCAGAGATTGCCAAGTATCAGCTCCTTATTGAAGAGGAGAACCAGAAGCTTAAAAGATATAAGGTTAACAACACAGAATGGTTCATCAATTTAAAGCTCTACTTTATTTGTTGTCATCTGGTTCATTTATCTGTCGCAGAACAAATGTAGCTTTGCCCAGCTTTTTAAAATTCTGCTTTCTTGCAGATTGAAAATATTCGACGAAAGCACAACTACCTTCCCTTCATC